TGGGCCTCTATTTCAGCCCCAGTGCCAAGGAGTGTCGCCTCAATCCCCACACTGCGGCCACCCACTCCAGTGCCACCGTACACTACATAGGACTTGCCATGCCCAGCTGACCTTCTCTATCTTCTTCCTGCTGACGAAGTGCTCTCGGTCTGGCCCTATGTGAGGCAGTTGCTGGCCGTGCCAGGCCTTCTTCCTGAGGCCGCTCGCACTGTTCTTGTAATGCTTCAGAAAGCCTTTGCGCTGGGGTGGCTGGTGGGGCTTGAAGTGGCACTCTGCAGCAGCATTGGGGCTGAAGTAGAGGCCCAGGGTGGTGGCAGCCCACTGAGGCTGCTGAAGGTCCTGGGCCTCTACTTCAGCCCCAGCACCACCGCCAAAAGGATAGAGATGGGGGGGCAGATAGGCGGGTGAGGGGAATTGAGGTGCCCCTGTGGTTATAAGTGCCAGCAGGCTGCCAAGCACCCACATATTGATCACATGACCATGAGGGTGCTGCAGCAGCCGTAACTTCAGGGACTGGGCGTAAGTACCATTAGATCAGCACTGCCATAACTTTGAATGGTCACTGAACAAATGGTCATTAAGCAAGGACTACCTGTATTCTCTCTGTCATCTATACTTTTAACCGTTGATGCTGACCTGGACATAATTTCTTTGATAAAGATAAAAAATTCCCTTTCTTTTGGAGTGCTTCAGTAATAATTAAGGATGGGCAAAATATTTGACCTTTGAATGTTCTGGCCTCAGAATGGATGTTTCAAGTACTCCAAAGTGCTGAGGAAAGTAGCAGTGAAGCATTAAGCAGACAGAAAAAAACTACATGCAGTTGTGTGTGTGTGTGTGTGTGTGTGCGTGTAAATGCAAGGACTACTGTTACAAGGTTTAGTTTGGTTGGTTGCTTTGTTCAGCTTTGGTGAATATATACATTCTGTGCATGCTTTTGTATCCTGTTGCTGAGTTGAGCTTCTAGAGTTCATTTCAAAAATTATATAATGCAAGAGTGCAAAACACAGAGCTTATCCGAGGTGCAGTAATTTTAATAATATTTTATAAATAATAAAAACAATTAAATGCAATTTGTACTAATTGGCAGGGCTTCTCTTATTCTTTTTTGGGTTTGGTGTGCTACTGCTGTTATAAAATATATGCTAATGGAATGAATTAAGATGAGGATTAATTTCTTGTTCTCTGTATCCAAGAACAAATATTTGAAGGCCTCAGAGAGTTTATTTAATAAATGAAGACTGACTGTCTCTTAAGAACTAGAACAGGGATGTTTTGTTTTTAGCTTGCTTTACTTCTATCATGTGATATATATATTTTAAAAGTTTTTGAAAAAGTTTTAAAAATAAGTATTTGGCTAATTTTCTGCAACTTGGCTGGCCAGTAGCAGTCAGCATCAAGTACCCCAGCACTTAATATGGTGGCTCTGGTGTGAAAGCAATTTGGGAACATAGGTCTCTTAGTCAGTTCCCAAGTATTTCCTATGGCCAGAATACTTGACCTGCTTCAGTTTTATTTGGACAGAACACTACTCCTAAATCTTCTCATCTTCACTCTGAAGAACTAAGCTCTTCAAAATAAAATGCTAATTTCCATCTATCCATCAAATTAAATTTTGAAAACATGCCTTTAGATCAATATAACATTTGGAGTCATTAACAAGAATAAAGATGGCTGCAGCAGGAGATCCTTGCTTCTTACTGGAAACTTTAAAACATAGGGATATGGCATTGGGCAAGAGCTAGGTATACCATCTGTGAATGTACTGACATTCTGGAGTACTGTAATATTTTTAACCATTTAAAAGAAAGGCAATAGAGCTGTGTCTATTGTCGGTATAGCACTGTGCTGTGTTCCCAGATTACAGACTGAAGACCTATGTAATTGAATCTATGAAGACCAGTGTAATTACCCCAAGACAAGTTATCTGGTAGCCTAGATGAAAAGGTAGTTCATTATGAACAGGACCAAGCAGCAAGCAAGTAATACAAGATTTATAAATACAGAAAATAGGATTCATCTTCTGGTTAAAAATGTGTCCCTCTGTAAGTCCTAAGAAGTCAATACACATATCATTAATTGATTGCTTCTGGTCACATAGACCTTTTCCAGGATTATATGTATTATTAGAAACCAAACTATATTAATGAATCATTTGCTCTAACAGAAATGTTCTTTTCTAGGCTGGTGCTGGAAAGAGTTTTCTCTGTAAGTGTTCATTTATTGAAATCTACAATGAACAAATATTTGATTTATTGGATTCTGCTTCAGTTGGACTTTTCCTCAGAGAGCATATCACAAAAGGAGTATTTGTGGTTGGTGCAGTAGAGAAAGTTTTGACTTCAGCTGCTGAAGCATTTCAGGTATGATCTATTGTGATGGGTAGAGGTACACATCTTCTTACAATAATCAAGAGATAACTAATTGAAGTAGTAATAGTATGGTTGAAAGAATTTGCTTACAAAAGACTTGGGTGCTTTTGCTCAGGAAGCTTATTATATATATTTTTTTCTTTTAGCTCCCTATCCTGGGAAAATACCCTGTAAATCTCCCTTGTATGTATGGACTACAAACTTCTTTTAGCAGTAGATGTGTAGACACATATCAAAAGTCACATAAAATTTATGGGAGCTTTTGAGCACAGCATTTTGTGAAGCCTAAACCCATGTTGTATGCACATGGAAAATTTTGCAATTGGACCCTTTGTTATCCAATCTTATTTATAATAGCTCCATAAAAATCAGTGAGGCTTAAGTTAGCTATAACCTAATTGTCCAAAGTCTAAACTAGTGTTTTTATACTTCTCAAGATCAAAATAAGGTCATTATTGCTGCTATTTACTCTAATTTACTGCTGGAAGTGGAGGAAAGCCATGTGCGTATATTAAAACAAAATAGATTAAATGGGAGTCATGTTCTGAGTAATATGGGGATATGGTAGTAGAACATACTTTAATACATGTTTTACACAGAGTAGTTGTCCATGCAGTCAGTAGGAGCCAAGCCCAACTCAGTGGAGTCTAACAAAACTTTGTGTTGTGCACCAGTTGTACCCGTTTCTGGACTGGCAGGCCCTGCTTACAGTCAGTCACGCCTTAGTCACCTCCTAGTTGGATTACTGCAATGCCCTCTACATGGGGCTGCCCTTGAAGAGTATTTGGAAGCTTCAGCTGGTGTAGAATGCAGCAGCGAGGGCGGTTATGGGTGCCAGTTGTTTGGCACATGTGACACATTGCTCTGCGAGCTGCATTGGCTACCAGTATGCTTCAAGTTGCTGGTGGTTACCTTTAAAGTCCTTTATGGCTTGGGGCCAGGTTACTTACAGGACCATCTCTCCTCAGTGGTATCTATCTGTCCTGTTAAATCTGGCAAGAAAGGCAAGCTCTGGGTCCTCTGGTGGGGCCCAGGAAGAGGGCCTTTTCTGCTGTGGCAGCCACACTTTGGAACATCATCCCTCCTGAGATCAGACTTTCCCTGACCCTGCTTGCGTTTCATAAGACATTAAAAACTTGGGTTTGCTGTCAAGCCTGGGGCCTGATAGTGTGGGTGAGGCCATTTCTTGATTATATTGATTGTGGGATGTTGTGATTGTTCTTGGCTGCTATTTTGTTATTTATGTTTTTAATTATTGGTTGTGTTTTTACTGTTTTTGTTTTGTTTTGAATTGTGTATTTATTTATTAAATAAATAAATTTACCATTTAAATAACTGAAACTTTCTTGATTATTCCCTTTAGAACTGTGTCCCAACTGTGTTGTTATATTAAGTATATTACATACTTCTGAATGTAAGATAGAAGTTGAATTTGCACATTGTGCTAAACCACATTGTTATCAACCCTGATTTGTTGAATAAATCGCAATAAAATTAACTTACACATTGCACCATCATTAAAAATACGGTTTACAAAAACTCTCAGTGGGTTGAGTCACATATCATGCTAAAAATATAAAAAAAGCAAGTCACATGGCTTAATCTGGTGATGTTTGAACTCAGCCATATTTAATTCAGAGACGGAGATATAAGAGGAGCAGCAGTCAGGACTGAGGAACTGCTCTATATGCTGCTGATTTTACCATGGCATGGCTTCTTTCTTCTCCCTTACAGGGCTATCTAATCCAAACTGCACTGTACAGTAGAGCATTATGAGCTTGGTATTAGGCCTTCTGAGCTGATTGTTTCTGTCACGGCTACCATTACATGAACCTCCAACTTTGTTAATTACTATCTGGATGTTCTTCCTTTCATTATTACATCCTACACTGAAGGAAAATTGTCTTATTTTTTGGTTTGTGAGCCTCAGGGACTATAAACTGCTCTGGGAGACTTTCTGGCTTAAGAACAAGTTGTATCTGTTTTGATAATAAATAGCTAATGAGTAGTAGCAACAGTATACAGTAGTAGTGCTCAACATGAAACATGTTGCAAATTTTATTTGTGCCTTATCTAGGTATTAACAATGGGCTGGAGAAATCGTCGGGTAGCAGCTACCTCAATGAACAGAGAATCCTCAAGGTCACATGCTGTCTTCACTATCACAGTAGAATCAATGGAGAAGAACAATGAAGTTATGAACATTCGATCCTCTCAACTCAATTTGGTAGATTTGGCTGGATCTGAAAGACAAAAAGATACTCATACTGAGGGTGTTAGGTTAAAGGTCAGTAACAAAAAAGTGGTAAAACCTTCTGTTAAAAACAATGATGATGCATATCCATTCACTCTTATTTTCTTGCACCGTATAGGAGGCAGGGAACATAAATCGATCGTTAAGTTGCCTGGGCCAGGTGATCACTGCACTTGTTGATGTGGGCAATGGAAAGCAGAGACATATCTGCTACAGGGACTCCAGGCTCACGTTTCTGCTGCGGGTAATGGCAACTGATAACATTTTAGACAATAGTTCTGGAAAGGTGTTTGATTTTGTATTATTCAAGTCTGTGATAAAGATTTTTGGAAAATCTATTATTTTTCAATAATAAGGATATGCAGAAATTTAATATCTGAATCTTTCTAATGTGAAATATCCCATTATAAGTCCAAATGCAGTGTTTTGAATGCAAGGCAGCTATTTTGAATGTAACATGGGTTATTTTGAGAATTTTGGGAGTGCTTCCACCTTGAAACCACTGTTTTGAGAGCAAAGCACTTTGCCTTGAGTTAAAAACACTTCCAAAATATTTGAAACAGCCTTGTTCTATGCCAGAAAACATTTATTTCACATTCAAAGTTGGCATTTGAACTTGATGCAGGACATTATTTTGTGAATAATTAAATCAATAATTACTAAAATTGCCTGTGAAACAATCCATTAAAAATGTTTCCTAATCTATACATACCATTTTTTATGATACACAAACTATTCATCTACAGAAGAACACATGAAGACACTTGTGTTCCCCTACTTCCTTCCAGCATATCTAGCAAAAAAAGTAGTGATGTTGTAGGGATAGCTGCACTGGGACTGGAAAGAAAGAGAAAGTGGGGATATAACTAAATAGAGGTGAGGGGAAGTAGGGGTATGCAAAATGTTTCTTATTATACAATTTCATAAAATCCCCCACTTTTAGCATTCCTGAAGTGTTTGAAGCTTGAAATACTGTTTCAGGCAGAGGGCACTTTCAAAATGCTTACAATGACAGGTGAGGGGTTGGATTTTTCTTGAAATTTGCACTTGAAACAGTTCAAGACAAAATAGTTTGCATACCCCTATAAAAATTATAATTGAACAGGGAAGGAAAGCAAAGAAATTCAGTTTAGTGTTGAAAAGTTATTAACTTGCAGTAGGCAAGCAGCCCCTCCGGAGTGGTTGATGTTCAGAAGCATTCTAATGCTTTTCAACAGTCATTTCTACAATTCATTTTTCAACAGTACTTTTTATTCTTCTCACTTCCAAGACAAGATTCCATCATTGCTCTGAAATATCTGTTATTTAAGAAACTCTGTTCCATTCAGCAGATTCACACAAAATAGTTTTACTGTGTTTTTGTTGTTTACTAAAAACAATATTGTGAGATAGTATATTAAAAGTTATTTTTTTAAAATCTCTCAATTGAGTTTTCATGTCTTTAAACAGGATTCACTTGGAGGTAATGCAAAAACATGCATCATAGCAAATGTTCATCCAGGATCCAGATGTTTTGGTGAAACCTTGTCTACCCTTAACTTTGCTCAGAGGGCAAAATTGATAAAAAATAAGGTATAGTATTGGGATATGTTGTCAGGTCACAAATGACTAATACGAGGCAACTTGTTTTGTGTTATTGTGAGTTGCTGCCTGAATGTTAGACTTTTTAAACTTTTTTCATTACCAGGTGTAGGTTCCTTTTAATTGTTCTGATACTAGATTTTGGCTATAGCTTAACATCCTTGTCATAAACTGCAAGCTATCTGGAGTGTAATTCAGACCTTTAAACTAGTAAGAATTCTACCATGTTTATGTAACTTCTAAAATGATACATGGAGCTAGATCTCACATTGTTAAGCTCTATAACTAAATATGTATTTATATTTGTGAATAATATGTATTATCTATTAAATTTAAAATCTTATTGAGGATTTTGGACTCCAAAAACAATATTAGCCATTTCAGCTGTTGGATGATATTGAAGAAGCTTCTAAATTGCAGTTTCCTGTGATTAGACTGAAGACACGCTAGCTTTTTTGCATGAGATAATAAGCTGAAAATATTGGCATTAAAAGTTTAGTTCAGTTTGTTAAAAACTAATGAACTAGAAAGAACAAAACTGAAAGACAGAAAATTGTGCATAATGTGGATAACTTACATAATACAAATCAAATTTATGCATCTATTTATAAACATTTGTGGGTATCTGTGGTTTAAATGCTTTAGTTTTGAACATGGAAAGTTAGGGTTGTGGCAACAGAGAGCATGATGGTCAACTATTAAACAGATGAGGAAGAAACAGTAATAGATATAAGTAGAGGTAGTGTCCAGAAAAAAGGAGAAGATGGTTCCAAAGTCCATTTTCATTCTGAGCCTTCAGGTTTAAAACCTTTGCTGTATGTGCTTTGCTCAGTTTATTTTTCTGAAAAATAAGGTTTACAAGGGAACACTACATTCAATTTTTTTTAATTTCTGGGCTAAATAATGAGTTACCAGCAGAATATAGTCTTATTTTTCAAAATTATTTTCTCATTATAGAATGGCTTTTAAGAGTGAGCACCTTAGATTGAATTGTATAGTAGGATTTTCTGTGTGATTATGAATTTTGTGTTCGTATTTGTTTCATTACCTTAAATTCCCGCTCAAGGCTGTGATAAATGAAGATACTCAAGGGAATGTAAAACAACTGCAATCTGAAGTGAAGAAATTGAAAGAGCAGCTTGCTTTGATTACTTCAGGGCAGAGTATAAATGGTATTTCTACTCCTGCTGGTAAGTCTTCCCCCCATCTTTATCTGTATACAGGTAGTCCTCACTTAACAAT